CCCGGCTGGGCGGGAGCTGGGGCTGGGGCTGGAACTGGGGCTGGGTCTGGGGCGGGCGGCCAGGGTGGAGGACCGGCAGGGAGCAAAGGTTGGCGTCCTCGCGCTCGGACCTCCGCGGCAATCATGGGCGTCCTCGCGCTCGGACCTCCGCGGCAATCATGACGGTGGGAGCCAGGCTCCGGAGCAAGGCGGCGAGCAGCCTCCCGCGCCGCGGGCCGCGAGGGCGAGGGCGTGCGGAGGGGGACGAGGATTCGATCGCCATCGTGGAGCACCTGGAGTGCGAAGACGAGGCGGCGGGGGCTGCGGAGAGCGGGCTGAGCGGGGCGGGCCGGGCCAGCGGGGCGGGGAGGAGGCACCCGGGGACCAGGAGCGCCCGGAGGGTGCACTTCGCAGTCCTGCCCGAGCACTACGAGCCGCTGGAGGAGCCAGCGCCCGGCGACAAGCCCAGGAAGAGGTACCGGCAGAAGCTGAAGAAGTACGGCAAGGTAGGGAACCGCGCCCGCCGTCCCCGAGCAGCTAACCAGGGCGTCGTCCTCGCCGTCGGACTGCGCTCGGCCGCTCTGGGCTGTCCCTGGGCTGTCCCTGCGCAGCAACACCCGTCCCTCCAGCCTAAACGAAGTCGGGGTGGCGCTGGGCGCCGCTACCCCGCTGCTGGCGGGTTAGTAACGTTCGTAAGGGGCCCTTGCTCAGTGGTTATGGTATCCTACGTAGCCTCGCCCCCACGTTGTAATGATGGCGACCCTGACGCTTCAGAGCGCTTAGGCGACTTGGAGAAGCCGACCCAGTTGTAAAGTTAGGGGCTGCGGCCAGTTTATCTTGCTTGGTCAAGTCCTCTGTGGAATATCCCACTAGCTAAGAAGTATTTGGATTATTCCCCCCAAATGATCCAAAGGTTATTTCCAAGGCCCGAGTACCCAACTGAGTGAGAGGGGACTTCAAAAAACTCTTGAAGCAGGGGTCAGACAGTTGTGTAGAGATGAAACCCCTTCTGCAAGGCTGACCCACATGGGAAGCTTTTGGGTTTTAATCCAGAGACCTCCCTCGAACTGCTGCATCCAGCATGCTCATTATAGGGGCTGGATCACAGAGTGGACACCCTGATGAGGGTTCTCTTTTGCTCATGGAAGAAACAAATAAACTTTCATTAAAGAAAAAAATTTCTTGGGAAGATAAAGTTAAAGTATGAGTTTATTTTGGTGGAAAAAAAATTGAAATCCATGTATACAGCATTTTCATAATAGTCTTTTCCCTAAACTTTTTTTTTTTGAGAGGTTTTTGCTATTGGGTGTGTGCGCTTACCAGAAAGAGAGACAGAAAATGAGAAATGGGATAACCATGTTGCACTCCATTCTACTCTGGAGATCTTGGGCATGCACCCACACTTGGAGATGAGTTTAAGCCACCCAGTCCAGGACTTGAACTGCAGTCAACTACATGGGAGCCCAGTTACACAGTTGTTAGGCCAACCGCAGGTCCAGCTTTTCCCCTAAACTTTTTAAAGACACCTCTACATTTCAAATCCACACTTGTTGAATCTGCTTTTCTTTTCTCCTAGCTGACTCTTTGAATACTAGGGGCTTTTAGACACTCTGTCATTTGCCTTGGAGTAAAGGAATGGGGTTGGAGAAGAGCGGAGGGGAAAGAGGAGGCAGGGGGAGTGAGAAAGGGAGGAGCGAGAAGGGGAAGGAGAGAGAGAAAGAGGAGGGATGAATACAGGATAAAATGACAGTTCCCGTCTCAGAGCTCAAATCCCACAGCCCTTTCCAGGTGCCTTTACCAGGAAGGCCTCAGAACTGGGCCTAAACAAGGCCACTCAGAAGGAAATCACAAACCTCACTGTCCTGGCCGAAGGCCACGCCCTCACCCCCATTCTCTGTCTAGCTATCTGCATCTTCAGTGGCCTCTTATCGTACCTGAAGCCATTCAGTCTCCACCCTGGGAGCTTTAGGCTTATCATCGTCTTTAAACCTTTGTCAGCAAATTTGGTGCAGTACATAGGCAGGTAGTGGTCAAATATTAATACGTATTAAGAGCTAGGAAAGTTGGGACTTCCCAGGCTCAGTTCATGCTGGGACTAATTATCTCTCTTCTTGGTCTCAGTCCAGCACGAAGAATCCACACTTTGCCTCTCAGCTAGAGAGTCCATATGGCAAAACCTTAGCTCGGGGGTTGGCACTTGAAGATGTGGTTCGGGTGCTCCCTGGTACCATATATTGTGCCCGGCACTAGAAATACAAACATGGAGATGAAGTAGCTGTGCCCTTGAGAGTCCACAGCCTCCCAGGGAGTCATGGCAGAGCCAGGGCACCACTGTGGAGCTGCCTGGCCCAGAACTCGGACAGTCAGCTCCTCGGGCACGTGGTTGTAGTCTTCAAATCAAGGTGACATGAAAACTGGGCAAAGAAGCATGAGTGAAGATGTTGCCAGATATAAATACAATAGTCATTAGGATAGCTACTCTAAAATAATAATAAAATAAATAAATAACAAATGTGGCAAGCATGTGAGAAACTGGAATCCTTGTCCTCTTCTAAGAAAGTAAAATGGCACAGCCACTGTGGAAAACAGTTTGGTTGTTAAAAAAGTGAAACGTGGGCTCAGTTGTGGCAACCCAGTGGGAGCGCAATGCTCTCCAATGCTGGAAGCCATGTGGAAGACCAGGGTCTGGGTCCCAGGTCAACCTATGTGCATCAGGTATGCATGCATGTGCCCATGCACCTGGCTGCTGGGAAATCTCGGGGTAGGATCACAGCCTGAGACCCTGTTGGGGGTGCTTGTCTTTCTCTCTCATGAAAGAAAGAAAGAAAGACTGAAACGTAAAGACAATTTTGAACATAGAACTACAGTCTAGTCATTTCACTCCAAAAGGCTTGAAAACAAGCACTGAGCAAGTATTTATGTGCACACATTCCTGGAAGCATTATGTTCATAGAAGCTATTTAGCCAAAAGGTAAAAACAGCCCAAATGCCCATTAGTAGATAAATGGATAAACAAAGCGTGATACAGACACCGTGGAACATTACTCGGCCTTGTAAAGGTCTGATGGACTCACATGCTAGGACGTGACTGAACCTCCGAAAACATTGACATAAGCCAGACCTGCAAGGTTACGTGCTGCACGTATCGTTCTGTTTATAGGAAATATCCAGACTAGGCAAATCCAGAGAGACAGAGCACAGACTGTTGGTTGCCAGGGACGCTGAGGGAGGAGCAGAAAGCACCTGCTTAAAGCACCTGCTTAATGGGATATACGTTCGCCTTTTGAGATAATGAAAATGTCTTAGAACTAGATCAAAGTCTTGTGAATGTACTAAACGTCATTGAATTGTATATGTTAAAATCTGAGGGCTTTATTTGTTTGTTTATGTGCCAAAGGCAGGTGCACTCACCAGAGATAGAGAGAGACGAGAGGGACAGAGGGGAGAAGCCCCCTCACCACCATGGGGCATGGTCATGCTGCAGTTCCTTCTGCTCTCTCTCTCCTATCCTGTCAGGCTTTGGGGCCCCCACGCGCACATGTGCTTGGCCAGAAATGTGGGAGGTGATTTTTGCCTGCTGTAGCCACCAGGTGAAATTGTATCTTATTTGGTCCTGAAGACTTAAGGAGTGACCTGCGCACAGTGCTCTTGTTAATTTTTTTTAAAGGAGACATAACATTTTTTAAAGAATTATTTTATTTAACTTTATTTATTTATTTTCATTTGACCAGAGAGGGACCAGGGGGTTGGGGGGAGAGAGAAAGCAAGCAAGCTGCCAGGTCTGGGACTCGAACGGGTGTCGACCATGTGGGAATCCAGCATCCCTAACCACCATACCACTCACTGACCTCAAAAGTGCTACTGTTAACAATGACTTTGCCTTCAAGGAAGGGAGACTGAGAGTCCTATTCATCTGGTAACTTCTCAAGTCTTACTTCCCTTTAAAGAAAGGTGTTTGGCTTTTGTGAAACCTGGAAGGGGGGCTCATCGCCCTCTGCTACTGCCCCCTGGCCCCAGTCAGAGGTCGACCCTATGCTGGGCTGGTCTGGCCCGCATGCCTGGGACTCTTAACCGGCAGTGTTCTCCGCTGGTTTTTAAGTAAGAGTGGCCCGTGTGCAGTGCAGTCTTTACTGTTAAAGTGCTGGGTGATAGGCATGGGGAGCGGAAGGAACACACAGTTGCTGTGCTTCTCCAGGGTGCCAGGGACCCCGCTGGCCCATTCTGTGTAATATCTCAGAATCCTCTCAACAACTTTGGGAAGCTGTGGTTATTCCCATTTCCCACAGGAGGAAGCTGGAGTTTAAGGAAATTAAGCTATTGTTAAAGGGCGCATGGCTAGACAGCAGCAGAGCTGGGAGTGGGAGTCTCACTGGCCCTCGCATGCAGAAGCAGATGGAGTGGAGGAGAAAGAGTTCCCCCCAGAACTTAGCCTAAAATAAGAGGCTACCTTCCCCAAGTACTTCTGAGAACCACCGGGTGAAGTGTGGATAAAGAAAGGTAATCATGGTATTAATTGGGCATCAAGGAGAAGGCTGGAGAGGAAAGTAAAGGGTATGGAATGATCTTTTTTTTGGGGGGGGGGAGGTTTTTGCTTTAGGGTGCGTGCACTCGCCAGACAGAGAGAGACAGAGAGATAGAAAGTGAGAAATCACCCCCAGGGGGGATGGCCACGCTGCAATCCCTTGTCCTCCATTCTCTTCTCGGGATCCTGGGCACATATACACACACGCCCGGCGAGAGTTTAAGCCATCGGGTCCGGGACGCGAACCGCGGTTGACTACGTGGGAGTCCAACGACATAGCCATTACGCCGACTGCTGGTCCCAAGGGTATGGAATGATCTTTAGCACAAGAGGGAGAAAAAAGTCTTCGGGATGTAAGAGGAGAGCACAGACATGGGCACTGGACCCAGACTGCCCAGCTATCTCTCAGATATGCGACCTCAGGCTGTGTTCCCTTTCCTCTGCCTCAGTGTTCTCTTCTGTAGTCTAGGATAATAATAGGTTGGGACCAGGACATGCAGGTCAGCGTGGGTGTATGTGTGCATGGGTGTGTGGGTGTGAGATGTCACTCAGATACATTTTCGTACCTGTGGAGAGTAGTTGTGTCAATCCGTGTAGAGGTCTTAGAGAGCACCTAAAATATGACCAGAGTTACACAACTGTTCGCTGTTATTGCCTGAGCGTGCAGGGGAGAGACCCAGTCTGAGTGTTTCTGTTCTCATTTTTGTTTTTGTTTTCTAAAGTTTTTGCTGTAGGGTGTATATGCTCACTGTAGAGGAGAGAAGGAAAGTGAGAAATCACCCCCCAGGGGAGATGGCCATGCTGCAATCCCTTCTCCTCCATTCTTCTGGGAGTTTGGACATGCATGCACACGTACCTGGAGTGATTTTCAAGCCATCGGGTCTGGGGTTCAAACCACGGTTGACCATGTGGGAGTCCAGTGCCTGAACTATTATACCTCCTGCTGACCCCGGTTCTGACTTTTAAGGGAGCTCTACTGCAGTA